CATTAACCGATGAAGTGCTTGCAACTGCAGTGTCAGTTGTTGGTTGGGATTTGGAACTAGAAGACCCGCTGGTTGAAGGAACAGGGCCATTGGATTTGGCCAAATTGGCCCGGCAACGAGGACATGTTGTAATTCGGTGACCACCACCTGAGCAATAGCTACACTGGTTGATACAGGGCCTTTTGCTAGCCTCTGCCAATTCAACATTGGGTTTCCATCAGCTGGTATTGTTGGTGTTGGGTCCAGGTGCAGATCATTTCCCTTTGTCACCCCGTGGTTGGCCTCAAGTGTCGGATTTGAACTCCGTGTTGTGGTGATCAATTCAAGGGATCAATCAAAAAATTTATTATTAGTAGTTTACCAGTTTACTAGAAAAGTTTAGCAGGGAAGAAAATTCAAAATGGAGGTTTTTGGATCAATTGAAGCTCTTATAGGCTTATGTATTGGTCATTGGGTTAACATTACATCATTTTATTTCACATTACTTATTAAGATCATTAGAGTTCATTCACAAATTTATTACAAAAAGAAAGAAAGAAAAACATAAGAAAAATTCGAAAATATAGGTATACAGGTTGGAAAATGGTTTTGAGGGTATTAATAATAAAGTTATGGGTATTATGAGGTTAGAATATGAAAGAACAACATTATATTATACTGTATCAATTTTAAACTTGAAGGTTGATGAGAAGAAACAGAAGTTATTAGAGAAAAGGTACTTTTTCGAAGTTGGTAAACAGGGTGTATACGTGTAGTTTGCATATGTAATGGTGGTAATAGTGAAATTTAAGGTTGCTAAGAGGATTTTCCGGGATTTTTAAGGTTATAGAGGATGATTTCATATTACATGAGCAAGAAAAAGAGAGTAGCAGCTGTGAAAATGAAGAAAACGGGTGAATTTTGTCAAAAATGAAGGTTTTCAGCTCATTACATATGTCAAATGACGTCAGATTAGGTTGGTAGATAGCTCATTCCACGCAGAAGAGTGGATTACATAATGTACAAACTTTGTATCAATAGTAGCAGAGGTTTATGTAAAAAGTTATAAGGCAAATAAGAAATTTGTCTGAATCTCAAATTTACAGTCCCAGGTCAACATGTAACACTAAAAACCTTAACTTCACAACTCAACATCTTGATCATCACTCATCAGAAATAGGTCATATGGGGGTGATAAATGATCACTAACACGAGGGCTACAAGATGCACTGTAGTAATCAAAAATTGGACCTCATCTGAAAAAATTTGTAATCTCAAAAATTTGGTTTTCAGCTAGTTCACAAGGAAAAAATCACCTGTATTCATCATAAGAAGTGCTGTACATCATATTATTGTGTCATTGATCACTTTTAGCTGTGAGAATTACATCATTTATTAGTAACAAAATCATTACATTGCATCATCATAGGCTTTTTAGGGATTTCTGGGCGGATTTGATTGGTTTTGAGGCTGTTGACCATTGTAAAAGTTGGAGTACATTGTTATATATACTTTGAGATGATTCTGGGACTGTTGTTCCCCTTTTTTCTTTATCATTTACGCAGTTATTATTTTGTTTAAACATCATAAACTTATTTTAATAGTATCTGGTCACTTAAATCCGCCCTTTATTATAGCTATAAAGAGAAATTTACTTTAGTGTTGCAGTCAAAATGACTTACTGGGAATAATATCATAAAGATATTGCTTGTTTTCTTTAGTTATCATTTGGGAATAACACTATAGCAGTGTCAATAGTAATAAAAATTGTGATTTTTGAAGTTAAAATACGTGTGAAAGTTATATTTCTCTGGTGCCTTATCTGTACTCAATACAACAGCACCTTTTCCTGATTGTGTTGTTTTAGAAGAGCAGTCTCAGACAACTTCTACTAGTCATTATATTAGTAGATTATCCTCTTCCAGCTCTGTATAACCCTTGTTGGGTTATAAGTTCTACAGCGTTTAGAATTGGCACAAGAGAGTAACAACTGGTTTCCAAAAGCGTAAGCTCACAGAAAAGCTTAGAAAGTGAGTGTTCATGCAGTTCAAGTAGATGATTGAATTTATTTTGGGCCGCGGCAAGCAGACCTTCATAGTTTCCCGGAGGTACATCCATAACAGGGTGCCATTGACTATGAATGACATCAGGTAACAGCAAGTCTTGATTGTCTCGTGATTGAGCCACAATGTGGGAACATGGGAGGCCCAAGCGCTTTGAAAAGTGTGAGTGCATGGAATTTGAAGGTATTCCGGAAGCAGGTCATGTTGAGTCTTTAATTTTTTGAGAGCAAAATAAGATACCACCCCGTTGAGATCCTTGAAGAACACAGGAAGATCCTGTAAGGTCTTTGTTGTTTCAATGGCTACTGAGATTGTGATTTTGCTCATTTGATGGTCTTCATTCATATTGTTTGAAAGCTTTGAAGCAGGTCAAAAAGTTGTTGTTACAACCATCAAAAAATTGTTTTTCTTGGAAATTACCAAAATGAAGGGTTTTGGGCGCGAAGACATTGACAAATTTTTCACTTCAATAAATCCAAGTACTGTTCAAGTAATCAAAGACGTTATGAAGTCGGGCTACTTTGGTCACCGCTGCAAGATTGGGCTTGTAATCAGTCTGAGTTGAAGAACAAAGGTATTCCATAACTTCATAAACTCAGACCACTCAGAGTCTGAGAACTTATTCTTGCAATTTTTTGCTATGTTAAGGTTGATGTGCCAGATACACAATTATGGTACTCAAAGCTGTGCATAGTTTCATGTGCATAGTTTTCTTGGCCCAAATATACTTTTTTTCGCAACTATACACAACCTGGGCAAAGTATATTTTGGTTGACGGTTTAGCCACCAGCATCTGATCAACAAACGCAGATATACATATGGGGTCCTCAAAGCTATGTAGTTTTTTTGCCCAAATATACTTTTTTTTCCCCGCCAAAAAAAAACTATATCTGGGCAAAAAAAACTATACACACAAAACTATACACAGCTTTGAGTACTGTAAATATATGTACAGAGTCAGGGAAAATCGACGAAATGGCATTGAATAAGGCAGGTTCAGCATCTGTGGCAAATGTTTGTGGCAATGGAGTGGCGGCTGTGTCATTCTCGTTTTGAAAGATAACTTCCTTCAACTTCGTCAAAGCCCATTTTTATTGTGCTTTCAATTTGCTGCTGAGGAAGCACATTGCCACGGTGAAAGACCTATTGGTGTTGGTTGTCAGCCCTGAGTACATACACATGTACCCAAAGACTAACTTGTAAATATAAATATTACTCATAAAACTCAAGTACATGTATATATATCTTAGAAACATATGTAACATGTAATAAAATATGTATAAAACACTAATTACATATATACGTAGTCAAGAACCAATATGTAACATATAAGATTACACACAAAAACAATAGTAACATCTCATAACTCAGTATCATGAATTAAAAATGCTTATATTGCATAAAACACTTAATGATTACTGAACATAACATTAAGTGTAAGTAATTTTAAAAATAATAAAAATAATAATTATAAACCTAATATTGTAACACTTGTGTATATCACAATATTAGGTTTAGAGAGCTGAATATATAAACCAAAACTCAGTTCATCCTCAGAGAAGAAACCAAGTTTTTACATACCACTTTCTAAAGAACCATCAAGAGTTCAAATAGAATAAAAATCAAGAGTATTACAAATAGTAATACTAGTGATTCATTCTATCTACCTTGATCTTTCCTGACTAGATCCTAGTAAGTTATAACACTTCACTTCTGGATCCTCTACTTCCCCTAAGTAGTTTATATACTAGGTTGGTGACCTACAAGTTAATAACAAATTAGGTTGGTGACCTCTGAGAGATAACCAAGATAGTGATCTTATTAATCACTCTTTATCCTGTTACTGAAAGTATACTGGAGAACTTTGGGATCCAGTTCTCAGTATAATATTAAATTATAAATGAAAACCTCTTCTTAAAGAGTCAACTAACTGTAGTCTGCCAGGATTTGTCCCAGCAGACTCTTAGTTGTTTAATTATAATTCATCCCTCTCACTCTCCTCTCATCTACCTCTCATCCTCCATCCTTGATTGTACCTAGTTATATCCTGAAATATAATAACAACTTATTATAATTCATTACCTACCAGTCCTAGTACCACATTGAGTGAGAGTAGCCTCTTCCAAAAGAGTCACTACCCTCACATTGGTAGTGCCAACAATGTGTAGTAAGGGTAAATTGAATCGGTTGGTCTTTTATGTACAGTCAAGGCTTAGAACAGTTGGAAATTGTTGAGCTAGGACTATAGCTGAAGGGCTTGCAAAGAACAGGTTAAGAAGAGTTCCGTTGGGGGATGTGAGAGTCCTGTGGGCCCAATTATTTGCCGTTATCAAGTCAAAGAGCCTTGGAATAGGCGTCCTCCCATTTAGCCACGTGTCCCTCAGACAAGACCTTGCGTTATGAATATCCCGGACTAGAGGCTGAGATCCTGGTTTGACGTGGATCATGTTACAAATCTGGGCAGGGCGACATCCGAGAGAAGAGAAAAAATTGATTTGCTCCATGATTTTGGGTGGAAAATGTTGATACATGGCAAGATTGTGGGGTTTCTTGAAGGCTGGGTGATTATGCTTGTGTTTGACAGTATTCTTCTTGTCTTGAGTGACAATCCATCTATCTATGCCCACACAATAGTTAAGTGATATCTTGAAAAGACAGCCTGTCTCCTTCATAGAGGTTGTCCGTCTCTCTGCCACAGATGCCATACAATGACCAAGGGAACAGCAAAGATAAATCCAAACCGTGTGCTGGTGTTTGATTTTGTGGCTTTTGATAGCCAGCGCATAGCCCTGATGGTGTGCAGCAGCATTCATATACATAAGTCCGTTTTCCATCTTGATAAAGGCCTTCCCAACTCTGGGTGCTTGTAACAAACAAACGGGTAGAGCTCCTACATACAGAGGCGGACAAGATGAGATGTTAGCATACGGTAAAGCTTATTACAATTCCAATCAAAGTTCAAAACTTACCAATTGGTGGCCAATCTGTGTCACATTTGTTTTGAATGAGATCAACAGCCGCCACAAGATCCTGTCCTTTGGCAGTGTTGTTGACGGGGTCATCAGTCATCATTACTGTGTCAGTAGTTTCCGTTTGAGTAGGACCAGGGAAGCTAGAGTTGATAAGTTGAGCCGTAGTTTCTTGAGAATTAGTGGGATTGGTGGATGTGGAAACCAAAATTTGAGACTGAGCGGCTGTTGCAGTGCCGGATATTGTCACGGTAGAAGAAGTGGTGAGAGTATCCTTGGGAGGACTGTTAATCGAGTTTGATTGATTCAAATGGAAGGCATCAGGATGGTGGTAAGGAGGATAGGAAGTGTTTGCAGGAGGGTGATGAGGAAGGAAGGTGTTCACAGGACTTTGTTGATAACGGTTGAAAGTGTGAAAGTGTTGATAATGGTTGGGGGGTTGTGGGTAAGCAGTAGGTAGTTGATGATAAGGTGGCATTGGAAAAGGTGGATAACTTGATGGTACAGGATACACATACGGATCAAGAGGATTCACTTAAGGATTCTGAGCTGCAAGGGGATGATAAGGATACTGGATGCCAGGAGGGGGAAACCAATAGAGGGGGTTTGGAGGTTGTGTAAAGTGTGGTTGATTGGGAGCAAAATTTGGATTAGGCTGGCCACCCTTGGATGATGAATCAGGCTGGGCAGCAGGACCCTTGGAGGACGTGTTAGATATTGGAAGTGGGGAATGTGGGGTTGGAGCGGACATAGTAATGTAAGTAGAAGGTTCAATTGGAGTGGGCAGATGTGTGATTGAATTGCAAAAAGGGTTGATGTATGTATCTGTGAATGCGGTGTGGGACAATTAATGGTGGGTTGGTAGGGGGGTGTTGCAGGTTTAAATAGAAAGGAAATGTGAAGATAGGACAAGCAAAAAGGAAACTTAAAATGACGGACGAGGACGAAGGCGGTCATGATCAACAAGATTGTCCTCGTTATGTACATTGCTTCTACCTCTAGCTCTGTTGTGGCCAAATGGTCCATGCAGATAGGGGCCGGTCCGGGCACAGGAGATCTAAGACACCCTTGCTCTCTCTTTTGAGGAGCCCTTGAGAGAGTCTAGGTTGAAAGTGTAGCCCAGCGATGGAAAGTAGGGCATGGAAGTGTAAAACATCAGGCTGCGAGATGATTTCGAGCCCAAACAAGTAGCCCTCAAGGTCCGAGTCCGGCTAAATTTAACAAAATGCAGTCGGGTATTGTTTGGTCTCTCGGGTAATACCCCAAAACAAGCGGGCTACGGGGATTTCTCAAGCGGGCTCAAAATAGTGGGATCCTAAACTTTAATACAAAAATTATTCCTATTAACTCCTTTACGGATCTCTTCTTTAGGCCATTTAACATTTCTTTGAATCACACCATTACCATTTGTTCCAGAACGTTGAGTCAACCAAAAAGTAAGTTTAGATGAATTATGTTGTTTGAGAGATACGAAACCTAGTGAATTGAGAATTGATTTGAATCTGTTTGAGTCTAGATATCTTGAGTTTTCTACACATGCTAAAGGTAAGACTATGTATAGATATCCAAATGGTTTTAGGTATTGATGAGCGTGTTTTATCATCTCGCCTAGAATTCGTATTCAACAATTTAAAAAAGATCAAGATCAGTTTTGTTTTCGATTTCCCAACTGAATGGTTGGAATGCTTTTGATTTGTATGAAGAAATGGATGACGGACTTCGTTGTTTAAGATCACCTACAAAGTTTAATACTAAACTGAGACCAATCACATCAAACTTTTCTTCTGGAATTGGAAACTTCATAAAATCGTACTTTGAAACTTTTGATGTATCTTGAGGATTGAGATCGATAGAAGTAGTTTTAATCCAAGGAAATTTTTCATAAGACGTTCCTGAGATAGCGCCCACATCCAATAGAGTAATCTTTTGATAAGATGAGATGGTTCGATCAGTTTACCAATCAAAAATCATCGAGCTAAAGATCCCATCTCCTGAATTGAGTAGATAACCTACATTCTTCTTACCCCCTAAATGTTCCTGTAAAGCTTTCGCACACCATTTACCGGTCTCTCCACCTTTTTCTTTAGAACCAGCATAACTAGAAGCAGCTTGATAAGTTTTCAAACCACCTAATTGTGCTTGTTGTTTTAAGATTTGTTTTCGTTGGATCGGATCTGTTGTACGTGCTAAAGTTTTTTCTAATGTATGAAATTCACTTATAAGAGCTGATGTACGTTTGTAAGATTGTGGAATCTTTTTGGAACATTCTTGCCAAAGTTTAGCTTGGTCTGGAGCTTTTTGTGAAGACGTAGATGGGTTTGTTGATTTCGATTTGATGCTCGTGGATTTGGTTTTGAGAGACTGTGATCTTAGGGATGATTTCTTTTTTGAATCACGCAGGTTTGTGATTTTAGAAATATGTATATTATTGTTAGTGCCTGCGGGAGAGGTAGCAGACCTCGATGTTGAAGAGTGCAAGGTGTCCATGGTTTCGGTAGAGTGACATTGGGAGGGTACTGTCTCGTTCGTTGCAATCCTTGAATTAAGATTTACGCTGGACCGCGATGCTTTTTCAGAATGTGAGCAATTATCGTCGATTGATGAAGCATCTGCTTTGAATGAGTTACTAGGATATTTTTCCTGTGACTGTGATGTCTTCCTCGACAGTTCTTTCTTTCGACGAGCAAGGACGGAAGCTTGAAGACTCTTGCTTGGAGTTTTGTGCAGAGGTTTTCTATGACGAGATGATTTGGCCATTGCAATTGATTCTCGATAAATTTCTGGTGTAGATATATTTACGTTCTGAACGAATGAAGAGTTGAGACTTGGTATTTAACTTCAAGTGCTGAGCAGATTCGTGTTTGCTTTAAAATGGTATAGTTGATTGACTTTTTTTGTGAAAAAGGTGTGTATCGAGTAAGATCCGGGTCGACAGCGGTACCGAGGCCGAAAGACAGTGCTCGGTCTCACTCGGTCACATGACATGGACACTTTTCACCGAAACTAAATTTTCAAAACCTTCCACTTCTCTTCACCACAAAAACAACAACACCACTACTGCTCAACCGATAAACCTCAAAAAACAAACAAAATGGCAAGATACAAGCTAGATATACAAAAACGACAACATCGAGAACGAGCCCAACCTCTTCAAAGGGAAAGGCTCGGTTTACTTGAAAAACATAAAGATTATGTAAAACGAGCAAGAGATTATCATTCAAAACAAGATCGAATCAAAAAATTAAGAGAAAAAGCTGCATTAAAGAATCCAGATGAATTTTATTTTGAAATGATTAAATCTAGTACTGAAAAAGGTGTTCATGTTAGAAGTCGTGGAAATAAAGCTTTGGATAACGATTTGGTGGTTCTTTTGAAAACTCAAGATTTTAATTATGTTAAAACTTGTAGGGCTATTGAAGAAAAAGTAAGCATGGTTCACTTTTCTTTTGCATAATTTAGTGAAGATTAAAGACAAATTAATACGGTCGAAATGTTTTGACTTGTTTTCTTTTCAGAAAGTTAATAAAATTAGAGAACAATTAGGTTCAATGGTAAATGCAATCTCACCAGATGATAGCGAACATGATGAAATCCGAAATGAAATTTTGAAATTCATTCAACAAGACACAACAGCCATTTCTGCTGCAAACAAAGAAGATGATGGAAGTGCTGAAGAAGATAATTCAACGCTATCTGCTTCTGGGAAAAAGACAATCTTTGTGGATTCAGTTGAAGAAGGTTCGTCTATCAAATCTTTTGAAAGAAGTGTATCATTTTGAAAACCTTGAACTGATTTAAAACTGATCAACTTTCTTTTAGTTCGTAATTTTGAACAAATCCGAAATAAGAAAAGAAAGTCTTCAATAAGTAGTTCACAGCGCAATTTACCAATTGCTTCTACATCTACATCTCACTCCTCCACGAGGTCGGTGAAACACAAATCAGGCTCTACATCAACAAACGACACTGAAACCGATCTTGCTGAACAGAAACTCGAAGCTGATGTATGTGGTCATATCCTTCTAGACTTCTCTAATCACTCTACTGACTTTTGACGATATACTACACAGCGACACATGAGAAAACTCTTGGGTAATCTCAAATCTCGACTTACTAGACTACGTACACTTCAAAAAGCAGAACGTGAACTCGAACTTAAACGAGCCTTGATGGGTAACGGATCGAAATTTTTGAAGAACAGTGTGCAAAAGAAAAAAGCTTTACCCAGTGGTAGAGATTTAAGCTGGTATGATAAACTTGATCGAAATGATTTGATTGAAGAACAAGATGAAAAAGAAAGATTAGCAAAACTCAATGAAGGTATCAAGACAGGTGCTACAGTTTGGGTGAGTTTTTCAAATTGATTCAGACTTTTGTGGGGGTTTTCTTGCCAAACTTAACGATCATCAATGTCCTTTTTTTAGAAATGGAAAGCTGAGAGGAAAAGGTGATTGAACATATGTGCTTGATAAATTACCGCATACCCTATTATTACCCCTTTTGAGTTCTCTTGACTTGTAACTTTAATTCAACTTATATTGTTCTGCGACATAGTCATTTGTTCTTTTTTGCTTGGTGCCTATCAGGCTTTTGACGAATCTATTCTTGAAATTGACTTCACGTGAAGTCGGTAAGATGATACCATTGGCATCGGTGATTGTTCGACCGATCTTCACCCAGGTTTTTTGCTTGAATATCATATCAGCCCGGTTGATGCCCAAAAGAGAACTTACCAAAGACTTGGTGCGTCCATAGCGGTGGGTCACTTATACGTGGACGCGGTTCACCAGACACAAATTCAACAATGTCTTTATAAATCTAGTAAAACTGAAAACCAAAGAAATTGAGCAGATGCCAGTTGGTCCACAGATTCAGAAAGAAACACATATTATTATTCAAAGCCGAAATACAGTTCCACAGATATTAATCCAAGATACAGTCAAAAAAACACTTCAGAAACAAAGTCACAACTAATCTTCTCGAGTCTCCTTGACCCGTTATTAGGTTGGGCTTTTCCCGATTCTTTCCTTTGAGAAATCGAAATTTGATCAAGTGGAGAGCAAAGATCCAGTACAGATGATGGTTTCAGACAGAGTCCAATACAAATTAAAGATCTACATAACTTGAGAATAATACACACTAGCACACATTCCAACCAATGGATCAGAATAAGACAACAACAATACTGCTTGAGAAAGCGTTTAGCTGGTTCTCTTCAACCTCTAATCAGAAGAAGAGAAGCTGGTACAAAACACGGAAGGGGGTCGAGGTTTTATAAGTTATAGGAAATGAAAGTGATTATCAGGTATCATGGAAATTTAAAAGAATCCGGAAGAAGATAAAACAAAAGGCGCTTCATGCTTGTTGGCCCAGATAGTGAGGAAAAAGATCAAACTTCGAGTCAGGAGAAAAGTATTTGAATTGTTAAACCAAGGACATTCATGCATCACAGCTATTCAACAAACACCATATCAGCATTCATCGTTAGATACACAGCTCAAAAAAAATGCGCTCACTTGAAACTCTTTCTTAGAAACTTAAGATGGAAGTGAACTTTCTGGATGAATGGAGTTGATCGAAGGATCAAAGGCAGATGAGATTGTTGAAGCCTCAGGCTGTGTAGAAGAGCGAGATTCGAAGCCAAAGTAAGATCCAGGCACCTGATAAGATGAGTGAGGGTTTTGAGGGCTCTCTTGAGTGGCTGAAACAAAGCTCCAAGGGTTGGATGACTTGAGTCCTAAGACATCCTGAGGAGATATGCCCATAGGCTGCAATGGCATAAAATGAGAAAAGTAAGGCGGATACTCGTATTGAAGATCTGATGTAGAGTATGTCGAGTTGGCAATACTGATGTCACTACTTCCACTCGTGCTACTTTTCCGAATTTGAGCCGCATTTTCGAACGTGTCATCACCTACGGGGTATCGATGGGAAGCAACCGGCGATATTGACGGTGAGTGCGGAGAGTAGGGCTCGAAGAAACTTGATGAATGATCTTTCGCATTCGTCAGCATGGTCTTTGGTAAAAAAGACGTGAGCGGGATGGTGGGATCCAGGATGCTCCGAGATGATTGCTTAGGACTGAGGTCTAATGTACTCATTGTAGCGATCGGTTTTGTGATAGTGGGAGACATCTTGAATACATTGTCTGTTGGTGGAAGTGAAAACAAGGATGGTGCTCCGGAGCTGTCCTTTGTTTTCTTGAGATGAGGAAATTCAAATCTAGATCGGTCCTCGTCGTCACCGTCACTGACCTCCTGAAGAGAACGTTTTCTAGGTCGCGACACGGGTATATAACGTTCTCGTTCACGCGTTAGATTCGGATTGGTCGGTAAGACTGAAGTATAAGGAACCATAGGTGAGGTCACGTTCCTGTCCCCATCGCTCAAATCAGTTGTCCCATGAATCGTATCATCTTCGCTACTCCAGTCGCCGATGTTGACCACGTCTGGCTTGATACTGTTTGGATGGGGCGATGTACCGTTGACGCGATGCAACGTACCGAAATCGATGCTATGACGCTCATGGTGAAAAACGGAAGAGGGAGGATTGAATGTCGAAGGCCCTTGTGAGAAGATATTGGATGCTGAGCCGTATGTCCCTCCACTGAAACATCTGGAGAGCGACGAAATGGGCACAGACTGTCGGCGACGAGTAGTGCCCATGCTTTGCTTTTTCAATCTCGTGTTTTCATTTCTCAACCTGAGGAGAAAACAAGAGTAAAGTGTTCGATGAGTACGAAATTCTAGAGGACAACATCCCAAGGTTTCAAGCAGCGCATCCCAAAGACATGATAACTTACTCTTGCACCATTCGCGTCAATCTATCGATCTCCTTCTGTCTTCTGTCTAATTCGGCGGCCTGGGCAGCATCTTGTTGCAGCCGTCGTTCACGCAGCTGCCTCTGAGCGATCCTGTTCTGTTCTTTTCGGCGCTGGATTATGATTGAGATAATCCCGGAAAAAGTTGGTATGAGTAAAGTGATAGTAGGGCGAACCAGATCATTGCGCACCTCTGAGCTCCGCTGACCATAGGGAGGAAGATCAGGTGAGTCGACTAAGGCTGCAACATATGGAAAGTTAAAGAATAGTGATGAGAAAGGGGAAAATTTGTTTTCATCGATGAGATGCGAAGCCGTCAAGTTTGGATAATCAACCTACGTTGGCGAGGCATACTGTGATGAGTAAGATTACTTGAAAATTTGTCTATCTTTGGTCAAAGTTAACTTTTGATGAGCTAGAAGGAAAACCAAAGGACAGCGAGATAAGTGAAGCGTGGGTTTGACCAAGCAAAGGGCCTCAAGGATAATTATTAATTCAATGGATAACTTTGTGCGAAAAGGATGACAAGATTTTGCGGAGGTTTAGAAGAACGCGTGTATAGAGGATGTAAATACGAGACACACGCCAATAAGGAACAAACAAGTGGTGGTATGTAGACCAAATATAAGAATTCACCTCCTGGATGATCCGTCCTTCTGCTGGCGATAGGGTCAATCAGTGTTATAAGAATATTCAATTCCCTCATTTCCTTTGACACTCTCTCGCCGCATTTAGCCCGATCAAAACGCTGAGGTTCCCGTGGCGGAGTTGAACTGAGATAGAGCCCGATAGAAACACGGTCTGTATCGTCTCGTAGGTCAGCTTTCGGTTCATCATCATCATCCCCACTCTATCCATCTGTGTTCCTTCAATTTACCAATAGAGGATCTGAGATTTGGAAGTTTCTTTATTAAAATTAGGTCTCGCCCAACACAACGGATATCTGTTACCTGGACATTAATTTTGATTTTGGTAAATCCTTCTTCTTCCCTCGAAGTTCATCTTTGGTGAATGACTTTACATGCAACTGATATCACCTGCGCCACTTTTGTTTCTTATATGGAAACCTTTACATTGTTACTAAACTCTTCAGCTGAGTCTATGTTTCATTGTCAGCATTAATCAAATAGTTAACCTATGCGCGTTCCTTCCTTATCGATGATCTTCAATCGGGGATTAATACAATATGCGGGTGGTACGATCCCTTTACCCACATCTCCCCGAAAAAGTGGCTTCAAATGTTCCAATGGAAGGAGAATATTTGAAGACTATTCAATTCTGTTTGTATTTAAGTAGCCTAATTAAAAACCTTAACATACGAGAATGTCTTTGACGCAGTGATAGACCGTTCGGTCGAGAGGCTTGCTTTGAAAAGGATGGTAATGTATACATCTGGGGAAAAGTGATACAACAGTATAAGTTCTGAACAGAATGGTTGCTCTATGTGCCTGAATTTTCTCCGTAAAACACAATTGAAACCTGCAGAAATGTTATGAAGTAATTTGCTTTATTTGAATTTGCCCGTGACCAGCGCTGTATGTCTGGTGTTGGACCAAAACTGGATGTCATTTTCTTCTCCTAGGGTAGAGAGGCCCATTAGCTATGTACCCGATATGAAGTCATCGAGGCCGACAAATTTCCGGGACGCTTTGTCTTGCTGCTTGCAGCTTGCTCACGACTGACGAATCCGATAAGTACCGTATTGTCAGAATGCCCTTGAATCCTTGAATGGTCGTTATTATTCATGACTCACAGAGAACCGCGATGGTATCGAACCGCGATGGTATCGAACCGCGATGGTATCGAACCGCGATGGTATCTACGTTCTTCCGATCCTTTCGGGCTGCAGGATGAGGTTTTTTACGGGGCGCTCTTTACCTTACCTTAACTATTCTCTTGAGATAAGTATGATGAAGTATGATGACTGAATTGAACAGCTGAATGATGTTGGACGAAACTCGAATTTCGTTTTGAGAAAGTCAGACAATGACTTGACCCCCAAACTTACGTGCCACAACACTATCGTAACCCGTGCTAGAGGATAGTCAGCAGGCGAGCAGCATATTGCATTACCATCCTCTATAAGGAGCTATAAGGATGCTGATTTGCCGATTGAAGAATTTTCGAATTTGTTACTTAAAACCTTGATTACGCCATTCCAATGCCACCTATTCGGCCCATTGTATGAAAGCATCATTTATACAAGCCATAATTGATGCGCCAAAAGAATCAAACGCGTAGATCCGCACTCTCGGGCATTTTTGGTGCTACGATGTATGCTTACCCCGGTACAATATGACACAATTTTGGGGAACACGACTTCTGTACCAAGTCAGAGAACTCTATTAAGCTTTTTCGGTTGAGCGCTCAAGTTGTATGGAAGAGGATCAGCGTGACTTGCCATTTTTGGTGTGGTTGAACCAGTGCTGAGACTTGCATCATGATGAACTCGATCTATTCAGTATCTGGGGACAACTGGATGATTCTTCTTTCTCATTCAAAGGCTCACACAGTCGAGGTTTTGATGCTCCATGTACACAAGTCGAGTCATTCTTGACGACTGAACTCAAGGCATTGAATTCATAGACAATGTGGACATAACATTTCGGATCACATTTCGGATCCAAAAAGGTGAAACAAAACCCTTCACATAGATGGCCGTAAGGAGACAAATTGTAGTAGCTTTGCAAATATCACTTCCAACATGGTTATGGATGTGAACACAACTTCAAAACTGATCTTAGAAGCATAGCTTGGTTTGAACAACTAGGATGCGACACTCAAAATTCAAGAACTTGAAACGAAGGCGCCACAAGTCGATACAAGTATAATGGGCAAGCGAGGGAATCGTTCGAATCGCGCTATCTAGAATTTCTAGAATGACAGTATGCTCGTGGAACTGAATGATTTTTTGGCAACCGATCAATTCACAGCGCAATAATATAGGAAAGTAAATGAGGCTTACTGCAATGACCACCGCAAAAGATACACCCGGGAGATATTGCACAGTATGTAACATATTTAGGACATTTTACATCTCGCTTCTGAAGCCTCGTCTGGGGATTTCAGAGTCAATAATATCATCAGTGCGGAGAATTAGATGCGATCCTCGTTGTCAAAGGGCGATCAAGGACGCACACTGGGTGAGGGTGCAACAGTTCCAAACAGAAAGAGAGCCAAAAACTGCGTAACAACAATTGCGATAACAAGGTGTGGCTATAAGGGCGCATCTTAGTCAGTTGAAGAAGCAAGGGGCACTAAGTGGAAATCACAAACCATATCTTCGCGCTTAGACACTTGAGCTCTAGAATTGAGAAGGGTATGTAAGAAAACAATTGGAGAGGAAGACGGAAGTTATGCGTTATACATAGTCCGGATGGAGAGAATATCTTTATCAAAGCCAAACAAAGTTCTATAGCGCTGAGAACGAAAGCTTTTGTGGGAGCAGGGGACAACGCTCAATGAGAGGACTATGTATTTATGTGATTGAGCTCAGCTATTTCTACCTCGCGATACTAGAGGCAATCTGGTTACCCCCCGCCAGACAGTCGGTTAGTTTTTGGTGACATTGTTGTTGTGATCGACTTCGTCATTGTTATGTGAATTACAAGTTTTATTGGTGTTGCGATTGGATTCGTCATTCATTCACTGTGATTTTCAAAAAACTTGACCAATTGTCAACAGGGTCTTCGACAAAACCCGAGGAAATTGGCGCCGAAAGTTCGGCAACTTCAAAGGCTGTTGTGTGATGCGATCGCAGTAAAATTGGAGTTCGAAGATGTGCTAAAAAAGCTTGTCCGCTCCGGAACCCAACCGGAAAGGGGAGCACCAAAGAATCGGGGGAGGTGTCCTGAGAATCTGATGATGAGATCTATTCTCAGCATGTGCGGACTCTAAAAACTTGTTTGACTCCGGCTCCCAGAACATCCATCCTTTTGATCCCACCGGATACCCAATAAGCCTATATTTAATCGCTCTATGATCAAGCTTCTTTCTAATTTCTTGAGGAATGTGTACAAATGCCCATGAACCAAATACTCTTAAATTATCGACTTGAGGTTTTCATTTCATAAAGACCTCATGCGGTGACTTTCCGTACGTGTTTGTATTCGGTGTCCGATTATGAAGATATGCACCTTGTGATTCTACTCACAATGTTAGGGTACAATTTATGAGTAGGAAGTAACTTGGCGTTTACATTACTTGGGAGATGCGAGGTCTTTATATAGACGAGCATCTTTGGGCGAAGTACAAATAAGGAAATAAGAGAAATACCTTTGCGGCCTTTTCTTAAAAAATTGGGGAAAGTAGGGGGGCTCAAGTCAAAATATTTGCGGCCTTTTTTTAAAAAATTGGGGAAAGTTTTTTACAGTACCGTGCTGTAAAAACTTTTCCCAATTCATAAAAACGGACCGTAAAAATTTCTCTCGGATCTCCTTCTGAGCAGCAAATTTACGCAAATTTGCGTAAATTTACTGCTCATAAAAATTTGGGATGCCGTATAACTTTTCCCAATTGCATAAAATTTTGCGTAAATTTTATGCAATTGGGAAAAGTTTTTTACGATAAAAGTAGTAAAATTTTTTGACTTGAGCCCCCCTAGTTTTTTACAGTACCGTGCTGTAAAAACTTTTCCCAATTCGTAAAAAAGGGCCGTAAAAATTTCTTTCGGATCTCCTTCTGAGCAGCAGATTTACGGCGTAAATCTGCTTCTCAAAAAAATTTGGGATGTCGTATAACTTTTCCCAATTGCATAAAATTTTGCGTAAATTTTATGCAATTGGGAAAAGTTTTTTACCATAAAAGTAGTAAGATATTTTGACTTGAGCCCCCCTATTAATTATAATCTTGTTAAAGAGATTATAAGCGATACTAACGAGACTAATTTTATACAAGTAACATACCGAGTAATCCCAAGTAATTGAAGTATTACCAATTACTTGAAGGAATATTAAGAATAATTCATAGCTTAATAGAATTGTACCAGCTGTTTTATGCTGAAGAACTATCGACACTAAATTCTTTGATTACCATTATTTAGATCTAAATAATGGATCAAGAGTAATCAAAGAAGGTCTTAATAAGACTTGTAATAAAATTAGGCTCTAGGTTTTTAAGAACACACTATTTGGATTACCAAAATATATGATTCAGGGATGAATCAAGAATTCAGGTTGAGGAATATTACACCCACATCTCAAGCGCATAATTCTTGAGTTTCTTTTTGTAATCATGAGATTACATTATGGGCGGGAGGGATTGTATTTTAAACGAAGTAATTTGGAATGAAAAGAAGTTCTAACAAGATAGATATCTTTGTATAGCAAAGGAGGTTGAAAATAATCTTGGTAA